TATTTATACATTACAATGTAACATTATAGTGACAGAAATGTAAAATGACAAACTGTTTTTGTGCCGTTTGCTATGTTAGTCCAAATTTTCTATTTTGGAATAAAGAGGTCAACATTTTTATATATATATATATTTTCTTGATTAATCGAAAATAATAATTGAACAATTAATTATTATAGTAATCGTTAGGTGCAGCCCTGCTGCAAATAAGAATGCAAGTTGAACTAGACATGGGTTTTTACGATGTAAAAGATGGTGCCAGGGGTTGGTTTGTATGTGTGCAGAAAGAGGCCACATTGCCAATACAATTATTAACACAAAAATGCATAATATTACAACAATCGAGCAGTATTAAGACAATATTATAGTAAAACATCAAAATACAATCATATTAGTATTTTGTTGTACCGAACTACTGAGTTGAAATATTAAACTATGGTGCAGTACCAAGTTGAGTACAGCAGGGGGCAGTATTGGACCAATACAAGACTCCATTGACTGCCATTATAATTCATTAAACATTAATATATCATAAACTATAAGTTGTACAGGCACCAAAARGCATAGCCATCATTTGGCACAGGGGCTTTACAGATATAAATTACAATGGCAGCTCTAGGACAAWGTAKGCAGGACGAGAAGCATGGCAAAGTTGAGATGACTTGGATGGGAAATGAATCACAATAGTGTGCACAACGCACACTGATGACCTGCCTGATATGTGCATCACCACTTCACATCTCATAAGCAATATGTGATCCATCACATTGAAACCAGGATGAAGTCTAACAGTTGTACGTGGAGAAATGGGCAGATGTAGTGTTTTGATTAAAACATTTGCAAAAATTGCATTTTGTCAAAATTTAACAATTAAATGTGTTATTAATGTATCATTTCAATGAACTGTCAGAAATATAATCCTAAACTTTTTTTGAAGCTCTTTTTTTAGCAATATCAACAAAAATCCTGATTTTGAGGAAAAACACCTTAAATTTTTTAGATTTTCCCTGTGAGATATCAAAGCTTTTCTTTCTTTCTGTCTGGGAGATCTCACTATTCAAATACTATTTGAGGTTTCTTCTTTAAAATGACATTAAAAAACTCATTAAAATTACATAAATTAGGATTCATACCAAATATTTATGTGTTGTCATAACCAACAAGACCAATTAAGCCATATCTCCAGATCCACTTCTGATATCAGGATGATCTAAGTATCAAAATGTAGCTTTAAGCCAGGAATCTGAAAATGTGATTAAAGTCATTTTGACCAAATTAGACTTAATCCTTGTTTTGATGTGGTGGGTCACATATGTGGTGTATTTTCAGTAGAATATACTAACTTTCATTATGTGCCTGTTAGGGCTGTGTATTGGCAAGAATTTGGCGAAACAATACATATCATAACAGAGGGGTCACGATACGATATGTCCCGATATATTTCAATACTGTAAACAAGGC